GAGCAGCCCTGATACAAATTGAGAACTATAATTCAGCCTCTTCCCACACACTCCTGTCAGCAGCTTTCTCACCCTGCACAGCCAAATCTGGGCACTATCTAAAGTCTGGGAAAGACACCTTAAAAAGAAATTAAGAAAAATTTTTAAAAACCTTAAACATGCTGATCTTTTTCTTATACAAGTAGAAAGAATATTTAAGGATATTTTTTTTTTCCCTCCAGTGTGGTGGATCTGTAAGTCAGTGCTCTTCTGCTTTATTAAGTCAGTCAAGAATTTGTCAACACTGGAAAATACAGTTCAACCCTGACTAATTTCTGCTTGAGCAAACTGTTGAAGCAGAAAATGCAATTAAAAGACTGCACCTGTGATACCATAGGAGAACCATCCCTGATCTTGCAACAGTTCTATGTCCATACATTAGAATACTTATCAAGATGGCATAAATGCAAATAGCAAGGATGTGTATTTCAGTTGGGAAAATGAAATGGATTTACAAATCAGATGCCAGAGCACTGAAAAAGCCTGAAAGCTTTCTCATGACTTTCCAAGATGAAACAAGAGATTTGTGGAGACCGTGCCATAAATTTTAAATCATTTAATTAAGGCTTTGCTCAGGAGCATGGGGAAAGATGGTATAAGATCATAAAATTTAAGAAAGCATGGAAAAGACTAGAGATAGAGTAAAAAAGGACCACATCCAAGGGAACAGTAAATTTACCTGATAAAAATGAGTCCTGAGAGACCCCGGTGAAATTAATTTAGAAAGAATTAGTGATGGCATTGAAAAGAGCAAATAAAAATTAGAAGACTGTAAAGAGAATTCAACAGAAACTTAAAAAAAAAAAAGACATTTTCCTCTTAGAAGTGCTAATGTAAAAAAGTTTTTCAATGCAAGCACATTATGTCATTTTAGGACAGAGTCCCTTTCATAAACTAAACATATTCCACAATATATTTGGAGAAAAGGTATAATGATTATTTCTCAAAACAGTAAGAAATAAGCAGAAGTTACTGTTTTGTGAAAAAAAAATGGAAAATGCAAGGAAATAAGAGCTTTTCATATAAAGCTTTGTATTACTCCACAGGAGGCTGAGAAATAAAATTCAACCTTTTTCAATCAGCAGGACATCTTTTCAAGTCTTGGTTGGCATTTTAAGCACCCTACAGGGCACAGATGCAATTTGTAGAAGTTTGTTTGTATCTCTACTAGATTTCTTCTTTTATGAATTCGTAAGGTACAGGTAAATACCCTTTAACCTTCTCAAAAACAACCCTGGCTTGTAGGATAGCCCTTTTGTAGCAAAACAAACATTGTGTGAGCCTAACTTGTCGGACTGTGAGTTTGTATTTTATGGACTGAAAGGAACCAGGTTTTACTGCTTTTGACTGAGGAGGTTTTGTTGTACTGATGTGGATGAGGAGTTGGGGGGAGATTAAACTCATAATAAACCAGCACATGACCCTTCTTCTCAAACCACACCAGAGCTTTTAAAATAACTTCATAATCCATCAGCCTCACTGGAGCTTCAACAGAGGAAGCACTAATGATGGTTTCAATGTCCAGCAGTACTCCTGGAAGCCAGTTTTAGGGGTCAAAGCAGGACTTTGAGAACAGACAGAAATAAAGAGATTGTTATGTCAATGTTTCTGAAGGGATTTACACAATCAAACCTCTTTAGTGTGCATTAAATCCACATTTACCTCTCTTCTCCTGCTCGGGCTGGTGAAGTTCCTGCTCCATTCCACTGCTCCCACCTGGAGAGGAACCAGGACAGCTTCCACGTTTCCCAGCCTTTTGCCCTGTGCACTCAGATGCTGCTCTGTTCACAAAACCACTCTCTGAATACAGTTCCTAAACTTTCCCAACTTTTCTAACACTCAGATCAACTCTAATCTATATAAAAATATAGCTTGCCATGATTATCCTCCTCTCCCATCTCTCCAAGTCAACAGCTCTACTAAATCCTTTCCTCTATTTACTCCTCTTTTTTTTTTTTTTCCTGGGCAATAATAATCCAGGTCTCCTCTTCAGTGTATTTCTCTGATCTCTCAGGTGTCCCTTTCACTTTGCTGGATCACGTGTCAACAGCTTCTGCCATGCTGAAAGCAGCACATCCAACCACTGCACATGAGCTAATCCTGTAATGAGCACACAGACAGGGCTAACACATCTCCATGCTGACAATTTATGTACTTACTCCCTGGATGCAGGCACATTACACATCTCTGCTGCTTTGGCAGTCACTGGCAATTGGTTATTCCTTGGAACAGGGTGATATTGGATATTTTTTAATTCCTACAGTTACTGAGAAGGTTCGCTCTCTTCTACTCACTGTTTTCCTTGTTAATGCTCTGGTATCAATCGAACAAGCTGACAAATCTGACACTTTTTCCTCATCCATTTCCAGAGTCTCTGTTCAGTTGAATTTGTCCTTTTAGGCTCCTGTCTTCATCAGCCTGTCAGTTCCTGGCATCATCTCACTGCAACCTAAAGGCTTAGCCCCTTGCAGCTGAGAATAAAAGAAGCTTATCATTAATTTTATCAAAGAAATTATAAGAAATTCATAACCAAGATAGTAAAAAACTTGAACAAACATTTCTCCTCAAAGAACACAATAGCTTTGATAAATATTCTCAGTTTAAGGAAATGAGTGTGGTTATTTTTTTCTGTTCTCTGATAAATTCATTAGCCAAGAATATGTTTGTATGCAGGTGAACTATGCAATTATGTTACTGAAAAATGGAAATAAGCACAGGCAGGCTGAGGGACAGCAGGGCTTTTCCTGGTTTGTAGCACTCACTTACAGCCACACACAGGGTACAAGCCACTGCAAGGGACAGGCTACCAGCCTGGACTCAAAACTGACACACCTCAACAGAACAACTGGTTTTGGTGGCTAAATCAAAGCTGAAGCTCTGACAGTTTTAAAAAACATGGGCAAAATCCAGGTGGTGCTTACAGCAATAATGGATCTTTAATTCCCTGCAGCCAGGACAAGATTGCCTGGCTTCAAGATAACTACCCTGTCAAAAATGCACAGATAATTTAATTAGCATTAAGAACAGTATGAGAACTGTCTTTTGTATTTTGGTTTATATTTAATCTAACCATAGTCCCACAAATCTGTGCTGAAACATTTATTACTTCTCTCCAACCAAGAGACTGGACTTCTCTTCCCTTTTCCCACCTCATTCTGTAAAGTCCTTTAAACCACAGCTCTCAGAATTACAGGAGCAGCTGGCACCTGTAACAGGACTGGAATTTAATCACTAAAGAGGCACAGATAAGCTCACATGAATCTTTAAACAAAGAGAGACTCAAAGTGACGTTTACAGCAGACATCCCCTAGTGCAAAACAGCACCAACAAAGCCATAAAGGAACTTTAATGAAAATTAATACTACAGCAGTTATTAATTGACACAGTTTTATGAGACAACAGAAGAAGCAGGTAAGACAAAACAAAAACATAAGATACTTGGACGTTTTGGTTAAATGCATGTTAAAATCTGTTGCTGAAATTAGCAGTGCAAATACATAAATAGCTTAAAATAAATTAGTTTGCAGGCACAGATTCTATCCGAACACATAGTTCTCACCATCAGGCAGTTAAAGTTTACATCTGCTGAGGAAAACTATGACAATAATCCATTAAGCTCTTAATTCCTGGCCCTCAGAACAAGTCAGGAACTTTCTGTCAGTGCACAGGAGTGTACCATATAGAATATAAAAAATATATATATGTAAATAAAGTGTGTCACAAACCCATTGCAATCTGCAGACATGAGAGAAGGAGCAGATTACTTCCAAATTATACAAGGACATTTTATCCTAAGTTTTCATTTACAATGAAGTGTAAAGTAGCAATGTGAAAGAATCTTGAGTTGACTGCCAAGGCAGCACCAAAGTCCCGTAAGGTGAGGCAAGGGGTGACAAAAGAGAGCACTGACGTTTTACAGGCTCTTAAAAGACCCAATCTAACCTCAGCTGGAGTGGCAAATTCTGTACTTCAAGGCCTCGTTTATGGGATCAGATCCCAGTGCACCACTCCAGATCATACCTCTACCCAGTCCCACACTTGCAACCATACCTTTGCAATTTTGCAGTTTGGCCCACTGAGAGCAAAAACATTTAGAATTTACATGGATATCAACCCCACAATTTACTGTGAAGCCTAAAATAACAAAGCACTGGCCCAGTTCTCAGACAGCAATTAATCCCATTTCAAGATGATGGAGAGACAGAAAAATGCAAGCATGGCTTCAGAGCTTCTGGTCAAAAGACCACGATATTCCATTGAAAGCCTTATGTGAAGTCCAAACAGGCTCTGGATCAGGCCCTCATAACCCTCCAGAAAATGGTAACACCATCCTTTCAACCAGAGAGTCACATGTCCATGCATGACTGGAAATCCAATTCAGTGCTCACTCTACAGACCAGACCTCCTGCATCTGCACTCTCCTGTACAGCACTTTTTCAGCTTCTCCATTTTCCAGCAGAACAATGCAGTTTGCAGGGCAGTACAATGGCATTTAAATTTGTACCCAAGAATTAACCTATAGAAACAGTACAGTAATTATGCATGCACTGTTAATTACTTATATGCTTCCTGTTAACAAAATCTGAACATGCATGCGATGTTTAAATCTTACATCTCTTCAGAGTCATGTTCTGGATAGCTCTCTCATATTCCCTTTCTTTTTTCTAAAAGAGAATTGCATCTCAGTCTCCATTATCTTTCCTGAACTCAGATCTAAAGCTCTCCTCTGTCCTCAAAGATGCAGAGAGCAGATCTTATAAGGTCAGCCCCATGTCAGACTTCCAAGTTGTCCCAAAAAAGGTGCACGTGCCCTCCATAGTTCCTGTCTTCTGTGTACAGTCCAGACACAGAATAAATGGAGCAAGCCACAGTTGTTTTGTTTACCTAAAGCACAGGGCAACCAAGCCCTAAATTAGCTCAGGAAGAAATTAATTTTTTCTCCTGAAAATCATACAGTAATGTTGTTTTCCAAAGTTTTACTCCTCATTATTATAAAATAAATTTTACATTTTCTCAGCCACTATCGCAACATTATCAGAGTCCATACATTTTCTCCCTTCATTTCAGCATGCAAAGTAGCAAACTCTTTTAACTCTTAAATGGCTTATTGAAAAGACTTCTCCATTCCCAAAACCCTTGTGATGCTACTGTCCATTTCCTACTGCAGAGTGCACAGTAAGCTCAGAGCTGAACAGGACCAGGTGCCTTTTCAAATTCCTTTTGGAAGCTGGCTGATCACAGAACTTGACCTCGATGTTGCCATCACTGAATGCCTCCCTCCTGCCTTCATCTGAATCCAGGGGATCTCTCTGAGATGCACTTGGCTTTTGCCTCCTCATGGTAATTCCCGAGTTCCCAACTTGCCTGCTTGGGGATGTGTTGTCTTTCACAATGCAGAAGCAGAGAGCAGACAGAAAATTTTTCTTGAAGTTCTCATTCATGAAAGCGTACACAATAGGGTTGCAAATAGAATTGAAGAACCCTATGATCTGGACAATTGCAAAGATCATTTTGATTGTCACATCATCATACTTCTCCTCAAAATTACCTGGAGAGGAGAAAAGAAATATGCTGTAAGCACAGAATATCATAAATGCTTATTACTTTGCCTATTTCTATCCAGTTTGGCATTAAACGCTTTTGTTTAAAATCAATAAAAACCCATGCTGGAAGTTCTTAACATTAACAGTTGAGTTTCACCAACAAGATAAAATCAAGATCTATCACACAGTCCTGCTTTGTATGTAGGTAGCAACAGAATCAAATGTAAGAGAAAATTTCTGAGGCAAAAAAGCTGGCTGAACTATTGATTTATCTGCTACAATCTTATTTGTGATAGGAGACAAAGAAACAGCTCCTGCCTTTACAACTACTGAAATTTCCTCTTGTTCCTGCACACAGGCTGCTCCAGTGTCTATGGAGGAGGTGGGAGAAGAACAGTGGAAGACCCCAGAGAGTACAGCAAAGAGCAAAAAAGCCAACAAAACAAGCATTGAGAGCATTTCCAAGCCAGTTTTCAGTAAAGAGCACTGAAAAACTCCAGCTGGATTCATTGGTATCATCACTGTGATGGCCAGTATTTATATTTCCAATACGCCTACCTCAATAAAAGGGATGTTTCATTTTCAGTTGAACTCAAAACAGTTAAGTTAAATTAAATATAATTAAAAACTTCAAGAGGTTTTATGCTCAGAAATAACTTTTACCTTCCAGCCAAATACTTTTGACCTTTCAGCAAATGAGGGCAGCATAACAGACATGGTAGGAAAAAGAATTTACACAGAGATGCTCCCCCCTCTAATAGTCCTGTTTTCCTTAAGTCTTTCTTATAAGCAGGACATCAACATTTGCTAGCAGAAGGTATTCTAGACCTGAATGGTGTAGCATCATTAGCTTTTCACAACCTGAAGTTCCATTACCAAAAAAACCCAAAAAAACCCAAAAAAACCCAAAAAAACCCCATAGACTTTATTCTATGAGATATGGCAGGTACTCACTGTATTCCATCATCATGTGAATCACATGGAAAGGAGCCCAACAGACTGCAAAGAGAAACACCACTGTCACCATCATAACAATTGCTCGCTTCTTCTTCCTGAAATTGCACCAAGAATTCCACACTGAATCACTGGGAACTAGCTGGCAGTTACATATCTCTCTTCAAGTTACATCTGTGACTGTGTTCTGATGGCTGCAGATGCAAATAAAACCCTCAAGGAATGCATCGTATAAATCTAGCACTTTATTGCTCTTTTTTGGGACAGTAGAGGACTTTGCAGCATGACATTAGCATGTCTTGCAAGGCATTTTCAACTCTATTCAAGAGGAATAAAAAAATCAGGAAAAAAAGCTTTCTAGAAGTCAAAGTTCCAAGTGCATTTTGCTTACAAACCTTGATATTTTAGACATTTCGCTCCCATGAATGGTTTGAAGAACTGAAGCGTCTCCCACTCGTTTCTTAATCCAGAGTTCATAGCCAATTTTAGTGTACAATAAAAGCATCAGCATCAGTGGAAGAAGGAAGAGTATAACAAGAATGAAGGTTGTATAGATCTTCTGATAAATGGGACTGGCCCATTCTTCCAAGCAACAAACATGCACTTTTTCATATAGAAAGTCATATTTAACCTGTAACAAATGCAAAGAAGATGAACACTAAGGCGTTTATCCCAAGTGAAAAACCCAAGCACATTCAGATATTAATTTCTCTTCATGGAACAACCAAAATTCAACAGATTTTTCAAGGAGACAAAATTCCTTCAAGCACTTTTCCACATCAAGTGCTGGGTTTGATCTGAATTGACAAAGAGAGGCCGGGAGATGCTCTGATTTGCCCTTCAAAGGAGACCTTGGCTACACATCTTGTAAGTAAAGATGGATGTAGAGAAACCTTACACGTTAGCCACCTTAAAAAAAAAGAAAATTATTAACATTCAGACTCACAAGCAGCAGATTCTGACAAGCCTCCTGCTTAACCTCCACACAAGTGTGGTAGCTCATCAAATATAATGAGCAGCTAATTAATTTTAAACTAAGCACAGTTCTCCCAGATCTTGGGGAACACTATATGTCATCCTGAAACAGCAATCTAAGCCCTCTATTGCTGTGTGCCAGTGCACCTATAAACCAAAAGAAAGCCACAGTGGAAGTCACAGATGTAATTACTGTTCTTTGACATAATTAGGGAGAGTAGGCGTGACTAGTCCTTGTTGGTATTCCTTCTTCCAGTGCATATAAATTCTAATCCTAAGCCTTTCACAGGCTGGCACACAGAACCACAGGTCCACCTCCCTTATCACCCTCTAATTTCACAGAGTTGATTCAATTTCACCTAAAGGTACAAGAAGATCCAGCAAGGACTGAGTTTAATAAGCAAATCCCCATTTGACCTAACCTACCTCAAGCCGTTGCACGTACCACATGGGCGACCCAACGATAAGAGCCAGCAACCACACTACACCTGTAAAAAAATACATTTTTTAATAATTTGTCCAACAAGCAGGATTTGGTATGAACAGTTCAACAGCTTTGAAAAGTCAGGCAAGGCAGAAAATTGTAGCAAAGAACAAAGTTTTCTATGAGGTATATATCAGTCAACATTCACATCAATAACAACATGTTCTTTTGACATCAGTTTTCTGTCTCTTGAACTACCTCCATTTATTGCTATTCCACAGGAAAAGCCACTTAATCTGCATAAGGAGCATGAAGTAAATCTCTTTGTGTAACAAAAGAAGGACCATTTCCCTTTGACATTGCTTAAGCAGCACTTGTACATTTTAAACCTTTCTTGAAAAAAGAAAAAAGAATGGCTGCTAAAGGCTTATCTTTGTTAAGTACATTTTTGACTTCAAATGCTAAATACCTTGTTAGACTTTTGGCTAGTAAATACTTTACTTGTAGGCACTATCCTTGAGCTATTTTATAAAGGTCAATTAACTCTGAATCACTGGTCATATCAGTGCCTTCTCTTATGCCATGCCACCTACGCTGAAGATCATTTCTCACACACAATTACTGGAGATGCTTAAAACCTTACCAAGCATTGTGAAAGCTCTTTTATTGGTGTACTGCCACTTCATTTTTAGGGGATGCACAATTCCCTGGTGTCTTTCCACAGCAATGCAGGTCATTGTAAGAATCTCAGTTACAATAGCAGTGGACTGAACAAACGGCACCATCTTGCAAGCGAAGGCACCTGCAATAATCACAAAGTAAGGCATGCAACAGCTATTAACACTGGACTCCACTACTAAAAATAACAGACCAAGATTCTTAGATTTATGGTAACATCTAAACTGCTAAGTCACCTATTTAAGCCATTTGTCAAATGCAGCTCTCTCTCCACAGCCATTCTTTATTGTACACATCTGCAAAGCCAGGATTTCTAAGGACATATTCACTTGCTCTGTTAACAGTCTGAAACTCCTATTTCACTTCTGCCCAAGTCTTCCATCATCTGTTTTCAAACATGTCAAGTTACAGAGACATTTATTATTTTTTCAGAGACATCTCTTATTTTTTCATTTTGGCAGCTTACTCTCCAGTTGATGAAGGTCTGAGTGTTACCTGTTTACAAGTTTCCTTTTTCTGCTGTTGCTATCACATTCCTTAAGCTCTTTTAGGTATCACTCTATCTGTACACTTTGGCATTTAATGCATCGTCCTGTCAAGTGAGATGTATAGAGGAGGAGGCCTAAGAGGAAAAATTCAACCTCGCCATCATCCTTCTCTTCTCCAAATCTCCCCCTCTGCTGATTATCAAATTATGTTAGTGCCCCTGTCCAAATCAAATGCAATTTCCTGCCTGCATTTTCTAAGTAATACAGTTTCCTATTGTGTATATGCAACTTCAAGTTTTGTTGCTGTAACAGCTTTCCAAAGTCCACATTCAATTCTTAACATTACTCATTCTCCATTATCCATTCTCCAGCCCTAGCCATCTTAGAAAGAGGTATAAATTATTCTGCAAAAAAACCTTACCTTAATGCCCTTCCCAGTCTTCTTCTCATTTACCCATTTTCTGACCTGAGATAATTTTCTCTGTTCATATTTCCACAGTTCCCTCACACTCTTACAGTTCAGTATCAGCTACTCATTTCAGCAACAGACAGGGTTATTTTTCTTACTCGACCATTATTTTTACCTTACTCAGATATAATCCATCAATTCAAAACAGCCTAAGAACCATCTGATCCAATTTTCAGTTAAGCTTTAAGATGCTGCAGACACCTTAAGCAGAAACAGCACAGAAAACAGACAAAAAACAAACTCTGGAAACAATCCTACCTTTCATGAAGGGAACAAGGAACAGAGAAACTTCTACTTGCTAGGCCAAGCTAAAAGCCACTCCAGCTTATAAGATGCAACTGGTTTGCTACTGGTCTTACCAATTCTAGTTGCCAAAAAATCCCTTTTTCTGTGTCTCCACAAAGGGAAGGAGAGGACAAGCAGCAATGGGTGAAAATCAAGCACCTTTCAAGCACATACTCAACACCAGCAACACGGTGCATGTGCACACAGACGTGGCTTGAACCAGAATAAAACCATACCATGCAGCCCAGTTTCAAGCTCCTTGAATGAAATCTTAGTGTGGCCAGTAGGAACTGCGTGGCTGAGTTGAGCTGCAAGCCTGTTTTTCACCTGGTATGTATTTTTCTAGTGCATCAGGAAGAGCAAGGCAAGACATCCTCACATCCCTGTATCAACTGCAGTTTATAAAATAAAATTTCCCCTGCTTCCTCCTTGACTTCAGTAATGCATTAAGGAAACACCTCATGAAACACAGCCAATATTTTAGCAACTCAGATCTCATCAGTTTCTGACTACACCCAGTACAGAAAGTGCTGTACATACAACACCAGACCCACTCTGTCAAATTCACATCCTTCACCCAGTGGGATTAAACTTCTGTTGGGAGATAAAACCAAAAGCAAGCCCAAATCCTACCTACTCTGCACTTGGCAAACAGTGAATGTGACCAAAGAGTTGGTTTTAATTTTTTGCTTCACTAAGTTAGAAGGCACTCCTGCTACAAATAACAAACAGAAAAGCAAAACTTGTTAATGAAATGTTTAAGCTCCTGTTGAAAATGAGGACATGAGTTCAAGTCCGTATGCTGCCACTGGGGGAAAATGGAAAAAAAGCAAACAAACAAAAAACCCCAAAACTTATAAAAACAACCCAAACTTTCACCATAGGCTATTTCTGACAGTTTGAAAAAGGCCAAACTTAAATTAAGTCCACTTGAACTACACTTGCCTTACAAAGATTTATTTTCCTATAATGCACTACTCTACTGAAGCCCTAGCACTCAGGGATGCAAAGGAAGTATCACTGTTACTCAAAGAACAAAATGAGAAAAGACTTTCACCATCAGTCTGGTGGAATTTCCAGCTGGCACCCAATTATTCAAAGAACAAAGAGAATTCCCCCAACTACATATTCCACATTTGGGAGAGAACTCCCATTTGTTTTTTTACATTTTTTTAATAGATATCTTCTCATTTTCTCCCAAGTAACCACACTGTCAAGGAGCAGAGACTACCACTCACTACGCCTTTAGATCAGCTCCCAGGAGAAAAGGCTTCAAAAACCCTCTACTTCAACTTTTTGAAGACAAACAAACAAAAAGTAAGCACTTATGCTACATAAAAGTAGCTAAAAATAAAAGTCTACATAATGCCTGCAGGTTGAGCCTACTGAGCTGGACAAGGAGTGACATCAGCACTTCCAAGAAATGGCAAGTGAAAGGATATTTTCCATTACACACAGCAGGCTGGAACAGAAACACCTTCTCTGAGGCACACAGCACACACTTTGTGGATTTGAAGGCCACAACAAAACAGCCACAAGGTTTTTTTACAAGCAACGAACACCATGACATTTTCAAATGAATAATAGGTAAAAGCTACTCACAAAGCATATGTGTACCAAAAGTAAAAACAGAACAAAATTCAGCTTCCCTGAAAATTTTGATGCCACCACTTAGAGGGTCTCTGAGTATTATTGTTATTAACAATAACACAGTAACACTTCAGGGCTCTTGTGCTTGCCCTGAATTGTCACTCACTACACAAATGCTTCCCACTTTCTGAAATCAGAGACCCTCAAGTGCCTTCAAATTCAAACCTCCATCAACATTGAGAGACTGCTGGCAAGGAAGTCAACTCTCCTTCACAAAAGTATTTAAAACAGATTTGCTTGGGTGAAAAAGGGAAAGAAATAAACTGTTTAGAATGTCAGGGCCAACAGAAGACTTCAATGGAATCAACGGCCAATTTCAATGGAATTCTGACATCAACACACCTGAGATCCAGCTCCACCATCTCTGTTTGAATGGGATTTAATCCTGAGATACAAGGAGTCCTTGTACTGGGCAGAATAGTGAATGATTTTCACATCAAGCCTCTTCTTAGTTTTATTTTATTTATTTTGTGGGGTTTTTTTAGTTTTCAGTTGGTTTTTTTTTTTATAAAATACAGCGGCCATTCCCAACTGCTTGGATAATTACTAAGAACTTTCTCCAGATCGTTCAATGCTTTAAATTATATAACTTATGTTTTCAAACTACAAACATCAACAGGCCTTTACCCATGGAAAATTAAATTTACTGTTAAAACAAGGTGATTATTTCAGAATAATACATGAACCTTTCACTTAATATTTAATCCATTTGTGTAGAACAAACTTGACCTGCAGCAAGGAGAAATTGATACAACCCCATTCTAATGTGTCTGTTAGTTCAAAGTCCCTTACAGAAAAACTGAGAAAAAAGTGCCAACATTTTACTACAAGGAAGACATGGTAAGTTTTGAGGAAAAAATATTAATTATGCTACTACACTGTAGTAAATACAGTGAAATTAAAATGAGACAGGCAAAGAACCAGCTGTGTCAAACACATACATTAAAACCATTTCAAGCGAATTTTCACATTTGTGTTCAGACTTAATGCAGAGTAACAGATAATTTTAAAGGAATATACTAGCTTAAACCTTTGTTATAATCCAGCTGGTAAAAATGTGGCTGTTTGGAACGTGGTTTGGTGATTATATGACTAACAAACAAACACAAAGAACAAAAGTCCTCTTTAGTGAGGTTCAGTCAAGGTTATTGAAATCTCACTCCATAGGTTTTCCAGTGCTGGGTTAAAGCCTAAAGTGCTGGGATCACCTAAAAATCACTGGAATTGTGGTAATTTCTGCACTGGTGGCAGTACAGGAAAGTGTTGACTCTTCTGAATAGTTTAAATAATGGTAACACTTTAATTAATATCTTAGTTATGTACTAGAATGTTTAAACTTCCACAGTGTTAGGCTTTCAGAGAATACTTCCAACAGACTGGCAGTCAAGACAGCTCTGCAGCATCTAATACTGACCACTTTCAACTGGGAAAGAAAATCATTTGCAGCAGAACACTGGGAGTGAAAATAACTAATTGCTTCTCTTTTTCAAGAGGCTGCAAGTATTCCTTATTCACTGCTTGCTAAAAACTGCATAGATTATTCAAGCAATGAACAGTTTTCCCAATAATAACATATTCAGAGACTGCAACTATAAATTGCATTCCCTTAAGCAATGTTTTATTCCTTTTATCGGACATTGTGCCTGGAACTGTGATTTAGTCATTTCAAATATCACTTTTTCATCAGGGTAACAAAAGTAAAAGCCTGAAACGATTCTCTGATAAAAGTAAAATTGCTCCTTCCTCTGGTAAAATGCTATTGATCAAGCCCTTGCACTGGAATTTCTATCACAGCTGGTAATGAGCTCTCTCCACCTCACTTGAAGCAAGCAAGTTGATTCTCCTCACATTTTGTAACTTGGAGCAGTACACATCACTCTTCATCACACAGATGATATCCCTAAGGGTGTTGCATACCCGGGCATGCTTTACATCAGCTCTCGGTATAGATGCAAGATCCAGCTCTCATCCCTCAGCAAGGAATGTTTGTGTTCTCACACACCTAAGTTCTAAAAGGTAACAACACACTGCTTGACACAAACAGCACCTTAAAGGCTCAGCTGGGTAGAAGGTTTGATTTTTCACCAAGCCTTTAGAGAAGAGGAAGCTGTCACATCGAGAGGCAGCATACAGAAGACCCACCCCTCTCCTGAGTGGCAGCTGGAGGCCAGATAACATACACGAGGGCACCTCAGTATTCAGGAGTGCGTCAGATAACTCACTGCTCTCAAAGTGACAGGGAAAAGTCACCCTCTGACACCTGTCTTGAGAATACCCATTCCAACTGATAAGATGCAGAATTCACAAGAATGTAGCACAGTGCTGGCTGTGTTTTAAGCTCAAGTTGTGCCCTTATCTTTCTCCAGGGCTGTTACATTACACAACATTAAATTAATCCTCTCGTCACCCCAGGCAGCTCTGTAGAGACAACACTCGGCTAACTAAGCAGTGTCAGGAAACAAAGCAACTGTTGTAATATTTGACTCAGAGATAAAAGCCCAAATTTATCTTTAATAGTGCTGTCATCAGTATGACAGGACCACTGCTACTGCCTCACACCTAGGACTACATGAGAGCAAGTCCTCAACTGCTTCAGCTTGCACCAAGACACACTGCTGCTGTATGCATCTATTTACTGCCACTTGAGTTCCCATTTCGCCCTTCTTATCAATAAATATGATCCCAGAGACCATTTATGACAAAGCAACAATCTTCATTTTCTTCTGCATTACAGAGAGGTGAGCGTGCTGGGTTTTCATTCCAAGCTCCCCTAGAAATCACAGCCATTTCAGCTGCAAAGTTTAAATTTGGAATTAAATCATATACTTGTCACTATTACACTCACACAGCTACACAGATTCTTAAAGAGATCAGAGAATCAGAAGCAGGACCAATTCAAACCTAATTTTTAGTCAATATGGTGCTGCTTCCAGTTGCTACCCATATAGAATTAAAGGGTCTGTGTTAATGCTGCTCCATCATCAGGCAAAGTGAGGCACACCGAGATTTTTAACTGCAGGTGAAGTTAAGAGTGTATTATAATAAATATAATATATTAAAGACCACAGAAGAAGTCACAGCTTCAGTTACTCTGAAACTGTGGCTGTTCTTTTGTTTGCATTACAGTGTCTGCAGCTCCCTCTTCCCCTCTCCCATTCTTCTGTGGGTTTCTGAAGGGAAGAAACACAAACACACATATACAAAATGTGTATAAAGACACAGTTCTAAATTAAAGCCAAGTACAAAACATACACATCTCAGTTTACACCGCCTAATACAGATGCTTGTTTTAGTGATGCAAGTAAATCAAGATATGAAGTGACTAAAGGCTCAGAATCCCCAATAAATTTCTAGCATCAAGTGTCTCAGGATGTGCCACTTTGTCCACCAAGGATATACCACAAGTCAAATCACCTTTTTTATAACAGAGTTGGATCTTGCACTACTCAGTGATGTTGCATTACAGTGGGTGACAACAAGGTTTTTTTCAGACGCCAAAATGAAAGCCTAAACGCAAATTAAACCAGTTAAGCCAGCAAGGAAAAGACTCCTCCAGGACTGGCAGGCTGTGATTTGCAGTACAACTGTAACCACCACTCACGCTTCACCATGTAAGCATCAGGAACCAGACAGCCTTGTGATACCATCAGTTCAGACATTTGTTTTCCTCAATTTTACTTCACACCCTCCACCCCCCAGAGTAAAGGGTTAACACCCATCAATGATATTATGTCCTCCCAACACTGTGTCAGATCAAGGTAATGATCTCACCAAATCAGAAGACCTACGGATTCACTTGTACTGAAAATGCTCTAGCACAGCAAAGAGGGCAGGCAAAAAATACAGTAATCCCCAGAGAACAGTGTACTTTAGCTACCCAAATACTGAATACCTGAGGAGATTTGTTGTAACTGCACAAGACCTTTTAACATTCACTACCTCTACATTTTTGTCAGCCACCCTCAATAACAGAGTGTAAATAAAGACATACATTTTCCCCACACTGTTCCATATGCCCATGCCCTATCTCCTGTAATTCACCCCACATGGAGGCTTCAGTTGATTCTAATCAGGTGTTTGGTCAAGCTGACAGATCAGAGCCTTCCTTAGGAGAGAGAACTACAAAGGTTATCTTCGGCAAAACAGCTCATAAGAAAACAGCACAGCTGTCCTTACTAGCAGTAGTCCCGGGAGCTTTGGATTCATCACTTCTCACTGAAGTTTCTGTAATAAAGCCCATTTCTCACAAGTGCTCCAAGTCTCCTCTGACCTGTCAATTCCCACCCAGCATTCTTGTTTGTAAGAAGTTCTGGAATTCATGTTCTGACAATAACCTTCACTGTCTCCAAACAACAGAAAGACAGTAAGCCTTGGAAACTGAAACATAAATGTGTCACTTCATCAACATCTTTCCTGATCATTCTGAAATATTCTGAAAAATATTTCAATTTGTGGTTGTACAAGATGTTGTTTGCTACTTGCCACAAAACCATCCCTTTTATTTTTCCACTTATAGTTGTCAAGCACTTTTTTAAGAACAAAAAAAGGGAAGATAAATACCATATGCAGTTCTACTGCACCTGTTTCTGCTTACTCTTTACCAGCTGGAAATGGGATGCATAGAAAAGGGGTGGGGCGGAAATTCCTTCTTTCTACGCATCAAGGAAGCTTTGCCAAAAGGTTGTTCACATCAACAGGAATACAGCATAGCTCCCAAGAAAACAAGAATTTAAAAAAAAATTTAAAAGATGCATTATTTCAGCATAAATTCTAAATATTTTCTCAGTCACCTGTTCCTCTACAGATATTATTTTCCTCACAAAAGGTTAAGGAGGTCTGTCTCCGAACAGACAGCTGTCGGAGGAACTTAAGCTGTATGAAGACTGATATCTCATTTGCCAGACATATTTCATTAACTAGCGAGAAAACAAAAAAAAAACAAAAAAAAAAAACAAAAAAAAAAAAAAGGAAAAAGTAGTACGGCAAGACTTCCTGGCCAGCTCCACACAACGAACCGCTTCCCACACGCACACAGCAACTTTTAAGGAATACAAGCCAGAAAGCGCACTGGGTTATTTTAAGAGAACCTGAGGGAGGGATGGAGAGGGCATCCCTCGCAGGGGACGGGAAGGGTTAGGTTCCCTCACTGAGGGCAGGAAGGCTCCCTCAGAGACGGGGGGAACGAAGGTCTCGGCGGCGGCGCTGCCCTTCATCGTCCTGCCCGCTGCCCCCCGCTGCAGCCCGGCCCGACCCCGGCACTCACCGCCGAGCCAGTTGGAGGAGATGTTCTGCAGCATGGTAAAGGGCACGCAGAAGAAGGCGATGAGGAGGTCGCTGAGCGCCAGGGAACAGATGAAGATGTTGGTGACGGTCCTCATGGCTTTGCTGCGGGTCACTACGTAGAGCACCAGGCAGTTGCCGAAGAGCGCCAGGACGAAGATGAGAACGCAGATGAGGACGAAGGCCACCTTGGTGCGCCCCGGCAGCTCCGGGATGTACACCAGAGGCTGCAGCCCGTAGAGAGCAATGAACTGCTCCCGCGTCACGTTGTTGTCCCGCAGGAGCTGCGCGAACTGCTCCGGGGTGATGTTCAGGGACTGCATGGCGCCCGCTCGGGGACCGACACCTCACACTCCCCCTCAACCTCCTCAACGCCGCCACCCGCGCCTCGCCATGGCCGGACCACTGTGCCTCCGGGTCGGACCCCGCGGTGCGGCGGCGGCGAAGAGAGCGCGTAGAGCCGGGAGCAGCCCGGGGGCGAAGGCGGAGAAGAGAGCGCGTCGAGCCGGGAGCAGCCCGCCGTGCGGCCACGGAGGGCGGCAGCCAATCAGCGCCGGGCGCGCGCCCGCTCCCCCCGCCCCAGAGCGGTGGAGCGGGATGGGCGCGAAGCGGCTCCTGTGTGGAAGGGGCGCGCGGGGACTCCCCTCAGACCTCCCTCCCCCCCCACCCCCGCCTCACAGCGCCGCTGCTCCCTCACAACCCCTCACAGCTCTGGGAACCCCGCTCACAAACCCTCACAGCTCCGGGAACGCTCCTCACAGCGCGCTGCTCTCTCACAACCCCTGACAGCTCTGGGAACCCCTCAGAGGTGCCCCTCAGAGCTCTGGGACCCTCCCTTCCCTCACAGCTCCAGGGCATCCTCACAGGCTCCTCACACAGCTGTCCCCTCACCGTGCTGGGTCCCCCAACCTCCCACTGCATTGGGACCCCCTCATAGCTGCCCTTCACATCGCTGCCCTACCTCACAGCATTGCACATCACTCACTGGTGATGCTCAGGCTCGAAATGCCCAAGGTGGGTGCTGAAACTCCCAAACCAACCTCTCCTCACTTTGGGATCAGGCTGAGAGGGAAAAGAAAGAGACGATGCTGTGGGGAACACGGCCTCCTGCGTGAGGGGAGGCTCATACCACCCACAGCAGGTCAGACTGCCGCTGGTTCATGCCCAGCCCAAAACAGACAGCACAGGGATTTTATCTGCCTTTCCAGCTCCTTTGGTGCCAATGCCACTACAGGCCCTCCCCAAAGTTCAAACAGAAAAGTGGTTTTCTGAACTTCACTGAGAGGACCAGAGACTCCTGGAGACCCCTTTCCCAGCAGTACAACCACCACTCTTGCCAGAGGGGATGTGACCGAATTCCATCCCCCACAACCTGGCTGGCGAGGCTACTCAGGTAAGGTCATGGAGGCTACTGAGGTGAACTACTTTTGCACTGTCTGCAAAAACAATGCCTCTGCAGTTTAAATATGGGTAATAATGACAGTTAAGGTCTAACAGAGGGACCAAGTTGAAAATATGCATTGATTTCTTTTCCAGCCTAATATAACTTGCCCAGTACGGCTATCTCACTAGCACAGGTAATATTCCCTTTGTATCATATACAATGTATACATTGATACTATAAAACAACGTGCTTTAATCAGTTCCACAAGAAATTACCAAAATATATCCAGAGAAGGCAATAACAATACAGAAGCCTGTTCTGGCAACACTTCCCACTCCCACAGAGATAGATGTTCCATAGGGAAACCACATCACCAGGAAGAATGCTGCAAAATCAGATTTTGTGTAGAACAAATGCTCCATGCCCTGGGTACGTCACTTTACCTGTATAAGGGAACTCTAGAAAAGAGTGAAGAAAAGTCTAGCAAAAGATGTGTTTTTATAGAGTTTCTGGCTTGCCAAGGGAAATTGGAGAAGGAAGAGTTCATCACCAATTCCTTTTCAGCAGAATAAATATGCTCAACAAGACCAAAGATATCTTGTGTCATCCTTGAAAAAGAAAAAAAAAACAACTTGTGTTAAGTGGAAATCAGTGGGGAGAAGTTCCAATGCCTGCACTAACTTGTGCTGCTTCTGTCCTCCAGGTGTTGACAACCCTCTCTTAAGGTGCAGGTCCATGGCAAAGACTGTGCTTATTATCCCATGGTGAGAGGAGGTGTCACTTTTCTTTGGTGCAGCATAGCCGTGCGTTTCTCACTTGAGACCAATGTCATCAGGCTCCCTCTCTGACAGGCTTTCTAAGCCTTGTTCTGGAAGGCAGATACTCATCAGACTGACTTAGATGCTGACAGCCCCTTTCACATTCCCTTAGGCCTGGCCTTGTTGGCTAGAGAACTCAGTCTTTTATCCCCATCATGATCCTGCTGAGCTTATGCTCCGTATCACTCAGACAGATTTCTTTGGAAGTCAGTTTTCCCAGCACCTTCCCTTGAACTATCCACTATTAACCACAGCAGGTACGGCCTGAAGCCACCTTCATGTCCTCTGTTCACACATCCTCTCCTGTACCTCTGTTTCTTTTCCCTCTTCCCCCTCCACTTTGTGCTGGTAACAGAAACCTCATTTAGGAGCTCTACTATTAGAAACAGGCCAGATGTGTTTCAGCAGATTTCATTCCTATCACAGATAAAGTGCCAATGCAGGAGGCCATTCTGTCATCGTGGACTGCTGTGTTGCATTGCTCGCTGTAAAATGCATCCAAGTGTATCAGGAACAAATAAATGGGAATAAGCCCTCACCTAAATACTGCAGATATAATCTGGGTTTATGGTTAGCATGGACATTTGTTTTTTCATATATCTTCATTTTATTACTGTGATTGCTCATTACAAGTAATCAAACAGCATTAAAAATGAACAACATCTGAGTGGCTATTCCACAGAATATAAACAAATTTTGAAGCTGTAGGCATTTGAACGGTGCCATTGCATCTAGTGCAGATTTAGCTGGGTTTTTTACATGCAAAGAAAGGTAGATCATTTTAAAAACAACTTTTCTTGTTAATACTTACCTACATGGAGAAGACAAATGTAGGATTTACAGAAACTTTCATTTTTCTTTGAGCATTATCCATCCTTTTAGCTGAAACAATAAAAGCAGAGACATCATATAGGTTGTAGGGCAAATCATTAGTAACTGTGTTTCTCAGCTCCTTGACTTGGATGAAATTGTATTTGGGGTTAAAAGGGTTGAGTTACAAAAGGTGACCTCATCTCAAACCTGTAGAAATTACTGAAATGACTTCTCTGCTTCCCTGGGCTACAAAATAATTGGCAGGTAGTGAAAAGTGTTTACTCCTCAGCGCAGCACCTTGTGTTCTGCCTTTATCCTGCACCCCACTGCTCCAGCTCCTGCTGCTTCCTGCAGCCAACAAAGCAGAGCTGTGTGGGGCTGCCCTGACTCTTCCCACACGGTGAAATCACCAGCCAGGTAAACTTTTGCTTTGGCTAGAACTGGAAAGTGAAGCTGAGCAAGTATCCTTAAGCAAAAAGGCATGAAACTGCTTTGTCAAACGAAAGGAGTTCTTTTTCCTTAATTGACATTCCTAATTCAAAGATTTAAGCAACTTCCCTGTTGCCTTGCTCACCAAAATATGTACACACTCACCCACCTTGCTTTATCCTGCATGACTGCTTTCAGATTTTGATGATGATTTTTCCCAATTCTTATCGGCAACCTCCAAAATGCACTCCTGGTACCACTGAAGTCTTTGGAGTTCCAATATTTGCATCAAACTGAGATGGCTCATGCCCTCGTATAATCTTTGCAATATTAAATTCATCTCTGCTCTAAGTTTTGGGAACCTATAGCGTGCTGTTAAAAAAAAACCAAAAAAAAACAACAAACCTATTAGTAGCCTGTACATAATAATAATAAATTACAAGGAACCATTCTGCTCCTTTGACAATTAATTATTAAACTGATGCATTTGCAAATATAAAGCAGGGTTTGAAAAAGCCCAAAATCATGTAGTAAATAATTGATTACATGGAAACAATGCATTTCTCATTATTCTTAACTGAAAAATAATTAAGCCTCCTACTAATTAAGTGGCTAGAAATATTTTACTTCTGTGTCTAGAATCCCAGTGGAAAAAACTTGCAACTTGAACACAGATCAAAAATTGTGTAATTCTCCTTTGGCTTCTGAAGGATTGTATATTCTTTGATCACAAACAGACAGGCTGATAAGCACAGAAAGTTGTGAAATGTGTGTTGTACCAGACTGCACTCCTGTCAAAACCACTCATTGCTTCTTGCCACCATATGCTTATTTGTTTTTTGCCAACATGATTTATCTGCATGACGCTTCCTTCTCATTCGAAAGAGACAGTGGATTTTCTGCAGGCTGAGAGATCCTGTTAGTCAGTGAGCAACCTTTTCTCTCACTGAGAGGAAAGAAGCTGTACTTGCACTCCGTTTCCCTTCTAACTGCACACAAACAGATCCACGTCTGGCAGCTGTGAAAAAAGGGACGACAACAAAGAATGTGCCTTCATAGTTTTGCGTAAGTTTTGACAACTGAGCATGAAGTTTGTAGAAACTGTGAACAGCAGACATTTGGAATACTGAAAAAGCACATACTTGCTGTATAATCCTAAACCAGAAATTTTAAAACACCTTTTTTCCCCCTTCTAAATCTCTACTCATGTGATCTACTACCAGTTCAGGCAAAAGAGATGGCAAAACTAACAAAGAATCTCTTTCCTCCTCCTCTTTCATTCCCTGGAAATACTTTGGAAGAGACAATTCAGATCCATGTCACCAACTTTTAAACAGCCACTGCAATTTATGATTAGTTAACCTTCCTGGCCTTGGATCATTTTGGTAGATACATTGGGGATGAACTCCCCTCTAATCCAGATCAGTACCACAGCTTTTGGGATGAATCTTTAAAGCAATGGAACAGCTTACCATCATCATTAGGTAATTTTAGATTAGGTCAGAAATGGAGTGGTTCTTAAAACAGCCTCTGAGATAAATTTAGATAAAGCATTTGCTGTTGTTGAGAATATATGTTTGGAGAGAGCACTGAGGCTAAAACTTCAGCTTTAGATTTACATGCTTTAATACACTTAGCCAAACCATAAATTATCTTGAAAAAGGGAAAACTCGACACTAATTGGACTAGAATTTTACTTGGTATCTAAGGATACAGCTCAAAGTTGGTCTTATCAGTGTATACTTAATTTTGGCTATTGTCTCATCGTCATGCATGCTTTACTTTCCATCACTTGTGGAGACAGGCAGCTTCCACTAAACAATATTTATGAAGGGAAGCATAAATCCCTAAAAGCAGAGTAGCACCCAGCTGCAAAATATGTTGGAGTGGCTGAACAAGAAATAAATTTTGTTAACTTAGCACA